TTTCAATATCATATTTATCTTTAATAGAAGACCAAGTATTACCATTAACTATTGTAAAATCTATATCTCTATCTAATTCCTCTTTAATAATACCTTCACTTAAAAGCTCTATATTTTTATATCCATTCTTTGCTATTATAAAATAATCAATGGGTTTTTATTTATTTAATAATAAAAATAAGTTTGTTTGTTTTTATCAGCCAGTGAAAGCATTAATTTTATAGAAAATTTAATTAAAAAGATTTAATAATAAAATTAATAAAAATGAAAGTAAATCTAATCTTAAATAACTTAAAATAAACTTAAACCAAGATACTTTAAATTTTCTAGTTAATTCCTTATTATATCTTTCAAATATAAAATAACTATCTATTACTGTTCCAGTGTGATAGACTAAATCTTCTTTTACATATTCAATACTATTTCTTTGATCACAGTGTTTAGTAAACATTAAAGGACAAATTCCTTTATTGAAAGAAATATTTGGTAGATCATTATTTTTTGAATAGTAAAATATTAACCTACCTGGTTCATTATTATAACATGCAAATATACTTATTTCTACTTCTAGATTTTGTTTAACCTCTCTTCCCCATAAAATGTTATCATTCATTTCATATATTTCATACTCTCTAAACCTAAGAAAAGTGTTGCAATCACTTAAGAATTCTAATGAAATTAAAATCTGTTTATGAAGATATTTAACTGTGTTATTTGGATCAATAACACTCACTTCTTGTTCATTAATGTACAGTTTAGGACATTCTACACAATTCTTTTTACTACACTTCCCCATACAGAAAAACTTCTTTTTATAATCAACTACCTCACATATACATTTCTTATCTTCTTTATTATAAATTTCTTTATTTGTTACTTTTGCTAGAATGTTTCTTAAACTAAAATCATTAATATTTTGTTCATTATTATAAAACATGGTTAAATATGTTTAATTTTAATTTATCTTTTTAAATTTAATTAATAAAAATATTTTTCCTCTTGATAGATATGACAGGTAATTAAAAATAATAAATTTTATTATTTACTGATTAAAATTAATGTAAGAAAGAAACTAATAATAATTCCATAAATTAAACTTCTAGATTTTGCTGAAAGCTTTAAAAACTTACAAATTCCTTTGATAAAACCATAAAAAAAATTCTCTGCAAATAATCCTATAAATCCTACCACTCTAAAATCTTTCTTTCCTTTAAAATACAGTATTGATCAAAAAAAAGTGACCACTTAAAAAAAAGAGTAAATAAACAATATTTAGTATTTCTGAAAACAAAACACGAAACTAACACATCTTTTTG